ATGGTCATTTCAATAAATGCAGAAAAAGCATTTGACAAAATTCAACACTTTTTCATGATGAAAACTCTCAACAAACTAGGAATAAAAGAAAAGTATCTCAACAAAAGAAAGGACATATATGAAAATCCCACTAGTAACATCATATTCAACATTGAAAATCTGAAAGCTTTTCCTCTAAGATCAGGAACAAGGCAAGGATGCCCATTCTCATCACTTTTATTCAACATACTACTAGAAGTCCTAGTTAGATTAGTTAGGCAAGAATAAAAGCAAAAAAAAAAAAAAAAAGGCACTCAAATCAGAAAGGAAGAAGTAAAATTTTCTGTTTGCAAATGAAATGATCTTATGTGTAGTAGACCATAAAGATGCTACCAATATCTGTTAGAACTAATAAATGAATTCAGTAAAGTTGCAGGATACAAAATCAATACACAAAACCATTTGCTTTTCTGTATACTAGGAACAAACAATCTTAAAAAGAAATTAGGAAAATAATCCCATTTACAATAGCACCAAGAAGAATAAAATACTTAGATAATAACTTGGCTAAGGAGGTGAGAGAATTGTACACCAAAAACTACAAAACACTGATGAAAAAAATTAAAGAAGACACAAATGGAAAGACACCTGGTGTTCATGGATTAGAAGACATAATATATTTTAAATGCCCATACTACCCAAGCAATCTACAGATTCAATGTAATTTCCATCAAAATCCCAGTAGTGTTTTTTTTTAAGATTTTATTTATTTGACAGAGAGAGACATAGCGAGAGAGGGAACACAAGCAGGGAGAGTGGGAGAGGGAGAAGCAGGCTTCCCGCTGAGCAGGGAGCCCAATATGGATTCAATCCCAGGACCCTGGGATCATGACCTGAACCAAAGGCAGATGCTTAACAACTAAGCCACCCAGGCACCACACCCCCCAGTAGTGTTTTTTAAAGAAATAAGAAAAACAAATCTAAAATTTGTATGGAATCACAAAAGACCTCTAAAAGCCAAATCAATTCTCAGAAATAAGAACAAAGCTGGAGGTATCGCACTGATTTTAAATGCATTACAAAGCTACAGTAATTAAAACAGTGTGGTACTTGTATAAGACAGACATGTAGACCAATGACACAGAACAGAAAGTTCATAAATAAATGCACACATATACAGTCAGCTGATCTTTGACAAGGGTGCTAACAATACATAAAAGAGAAAGTCTCTTCAGCAAATAGTGTTGAGAAAACTAGATATCCATACACAAAAGAATGAAACTAGATTCCTATTACACACACAAAAAAAATTCAAAACAGATTAAAGCCTTAAATATAAGACCTGAAACTTTAAAATTCCAAAATAACATATAGGGGGAAGCCTTCATAACTTTGGTCTTGGCAATTATTTCTGGAATACGACCTTGAAAACACAGGCAACAAAAACAAAAATAAACAAGGTGGGCTACATCAAATTAAAAGTGTCCATATAGCAAAAGAAACAACCAAAAGATGAAAAAGGTAATGTACAGAATGGGAAAAAAAATATTTGCAAACTATATATTTAATAATAGATGAATCTCCAAAATATATAAGGAATTTCTATAACTCAAAAAAGAAAAAATAAATAATTCAAATAATGGGCTAAGGACTCTAATAGAGATTTCTCCAAAGAAGATAGACAAATGGCCAACACATATATTAAAAGGTGTTCAACATCACTAATCATTAGGAAAATGTAATCAAAACCACAATGGGACATCATACCATCAGGATGGCTATTGTAAAAAAAAAAAAAAAAATGTATTGGCAAGGATGTAGAAAAATTAGAACACTTGCACACTGTTGGTGGGAATGCAAAATGCTGAAGCCACTATAGAAAACAATATGTAGGTTCCTCAAAAAATTAAAAATCGAACTACCATATGATCTAACAATCCCACTTCTGGATATTTAGCCAGAAGATTTGAAATCAGGATTTTGAAGCAATATTAGCACTCCATGTTCATTGCAGTGGTGTTCACAATAGCCAAGATGTGGAAATGACCTAAATGTCCATTGACAGATGAAAAGATGGAACATGTAGTATATACAAGCAATGGAGTATAATTCAGCCTTTAAAAAAAGGAAATTCTGTTATATGTGACAACATGGATGAACTTGAGAACGTTATACTAAGTGAAATAAGTCAATTACATAGAGACAAATAATGCATGATTCAACTTATGTAAGGTATCTAAAATAGTCAAATTTATAGATTCAGAGTGGAATGGAGGCTTCCAGGGGCTAAAGGAGAGAGAGAAATGGGAGATACTAATCAAGGGACATAAAATTTCAGTTAAGTAAGATGAATAAGTTCTAGAGATCTACTGCACAGCATTGTACTTACAGTGAACACTAACATATACAACACTAATGTATACTAAAAACTTTGTTAAGAGAGTAGTGGGGCTGGCTAGAGAAAATAAGCACATATAAGAAAGTCAAAGAAAGTACTCCCGGAAGAGCTGTTTGAGCTGAGTTGTGGGAATTCACAATGCCTGGCTAGCTAAGATATGATAAACACAGTCCTCCTTGGGAGAGGCTAGTTGAAAAGCAAAGAAGGAGTAATCAGAAAACTGGGCCTCCTTTTAGGTTTCCGGGCTGAAAACAGCCAGATCCTAATTGTGCTTCAATGCTATCTCCCAGGGGACAGATGCTTAACTTAGGTAAGATATAAATCCTTAATAGTCCCCTACTCCCTGACTGCAGGTCACAAACACAGTTATAATCACACAGTGCCCGTAAGTGTCACTGCCCTAGTTAATGAAATTTTACATTCCTTTCTAATCTTGATTCTTTCATGTAACAGTAACATGCAAAATAAAAATGGAGCTGGAGCTTGACTCAGACCAGACACTAGAGTGTCTGGTCCCCAGGCCCTCTCCTTTCTCCTACTTGAATGTCTGGAGTAATCTTTTCATTTGCTGTCTCAGGGTCTGCTGGCCAAACCCAACACTGAGTGAGATCTAAATGAGAAGAGCCAGCCAAGTGTATGTCTGGTATCAGAATGTTCCCGAGGTAAGGATCTAAATATACAAAAATATCTCAACATGTTTAAAGATTAAAAAAAGAACAAACAGAAAAAAGGCCATTATGTCTTTTTCACTGAATATCAGCTGAATTATCCAGGAGCACTGTGATCAAGAAGACTGGCAAGAAATAAAGTCAGTGATAAGTGGGAGCTGAATTGTGGAGGGCCTCCTAGTCTACAATAGTGTAAAGCTACTGAAAGTTCTTTTCACAGAAAGAGCTACAGGATCTGATTTGCATTTTAAAAGACTACTCTGGCTGCTATGAGAGAGAGAGAATATGTGTGCATGTGTGTGTAGAGATGTGGGTGGATAGGGAGGCAGTAGCAGTAGGAGTGAAGCAGGGTGAGCTGTTAAGAGCAACTGCCTTGGACCAGATTATACCGTCATGGGCAGCCTTTGTGCAAAAGGTGCAGAGAAGTAGCTGTATTCAGGATATATTTTGGATTTAGAACTCAGAATGGGTAGATGGAATATGTGATAAATTAGCTGCCACAAATTTCTTTTAGCCCAATATACATGCCCCTTGCAAGGTGAATTTCTTTTCCTCCCATTTAGAAATGGAATGTATTCACCTCCTTAAATCTGGGTGATTTATTACTTGATTTGACCATAAGATGGAGAGAAAGTAACTTTACGCAAAGCTCAAACTAGACCTTAGACATTGCAGGTACCAGTTTTGTTCACTTGAAATATTGCCATGAGACCCCACATAAGAAAGTCTAGTTAGCTTATTATTAAGTGAGGAATCATATGAAAAGAAAAAAAACCAAAGCACTCCATCTGACACCATCATTAACTGCCAGACATGTAAATAAAGCCATGTTGGTCCTTGCAGTTCAGGCAACTTGTCAGCTAAATTAACCACATAAGTGAACCCAGATGAAACTAGCAAAAGAAACTCCCAGCTACAACACAGTACTGAAAGTCTTAGTCACAGCAATCAGACAAGAAAAGGGAATAAAATACATCCAAATTGGTAAGAAAGACATAAAATTTTCCCTATTTGCAGATGACATCATACTATATATAGAAAACCCAAAAGACTCTGCCAAAAAAAAACTAGAACTGATAAATTCAGGAAGGTCACAGGATACAAAATCAATATACAGAAATCCATTGCATTTCTTCACACTAATAATGAAGCAGCAAGGAAAAATTAAGAAAACAATCCCATTTACAGTTGCACCCAAAGTAATAAAACACCTAGGAATCAACTTAACCAAGTAAGTGAAAGACCTGTACTCTGAAAACTGATGCAAGAAATTGAAGATGACACAAACAAATGGAAAGATTCCATGCTCATAGATTGGAAGAACAAATGTTAAAATGTCCATACTACCCAAAGCAATCTACAGATTAAATGCAATCCCATCACAATACCAACAGCATTTTTCATAGAACTAGAACAAACAATCCTAAAATTTGTATGGAACCACAAAAGATGCTGAATAGCAAAAGCAATCTTGAAAAAGAAAAACAAAGCTGGAGCTATCACAATCCCAGATTTCAAGATATACTACAAAGCTGTAGTAATCAAAATAGTATAGTACTGGCACAAAAGCAGACATATCAATCAATGAAACAGAATAAAAAGCCCAGAAATAAACTCAGAATTATATGGTCAATTAATCTTCAACAAAGGAGGCAAGAATATGCAATGGGAAAAAGTCTCTTCAACAAATGGTGTTTAAGTAACTGGACAGCTACATGCAAAAGAATAAAACTAGACCACTTTCTTACACCATACACCAAAATAAACTCAAAATGGATTAAAGACCTAAATGTGAGACCTGAAACCAGAAAGATCTTCTAGGAGAGAGCATAGGCAGTAATTTCTCTGACAACAGCTGTAACATCTTTCTAGATATGTCTCCTGAGACAAGAGAAACAAAAGCAAAAATAAACTAGTGGGACTACCTTAAAATAAAAGGCTTCTGGGGGATTGGCTGGATTAAAAACCATGGCGTGGATACCAGTGGAGTCCGCAGTAGAAGAGTTGATGCCCAGGCTGTTGCCAGTGGAGCCCTGCGACTTGACAGAAAGTTTTGATCCCTCCGTACCCCCGAGGACGCCTCAGGAATACCTGAGGCGGGTCCAGATCGAAGCAGCTCAATGTCCAGATGTTGTGGTAGCTCAGATTGACCCAAAGAAGTTGAAAAGGAAGCAAAGTGTGAATGTTTCTCTTTCAGGATGCCAACCTGCTCCTGAAGGATATTCTCCCACACTTCAGTGGCAACAACAATTGGCACAGTTTTCATCTGTTCGACAGAGTGTGATCAGACATAGAAGTCACTGGAAATCACAACAGTTAGACAGTAACATGACCATGCCAAAATCTGAAGATGAAGAAGGCTGGAAAAAATTTTGTCTGGGTGAAAGGTTATGTGCTGAAGGGGCTGTTGGGCCAGCTACAAGTGAAGGTCCTGGAATCGATAATGTGCAAATTGGTTTTCCTCCCTTGCTTAGTATTGTTAGCAGAATGAATCAGGCAACAGTAACTAGTGTCTTGGAATATCTGAGTAATTGGTTTGGAGAAAGAGACTTTACTCCAGAATTGGGAAGGTGGCTTTATGCTTTATTGGCTTGTCTTGAAAAACCTTTATTACCTGAGGCTCATTCACTGATTCGGCAGCTTGCAAGAAGGTGCTCTGAAGTAAGGCTCTTAGTGGACAGCAAAGATGATGAGCGGGTTCCTACTTTGAATTTATTAATCTGCCTGGTTAGCAGGTATTTTGACCAACGTGATTTAGCTGATGAACCATCTTGATGTAGCTGGCCTCTCAGGGATAGAAGATACTTGTGATGAAGGCAGTCTGAGGATGTACAGGGGCAACTTAAGTGAGAACTGAATTGAATTACATCTTCAACATTATTTGAAGGGTCTTCATCTTAACCTGTGCATCTGAAGTTGACATTTAGAAGATATATTGTATTGATTTGAATATTTGAAGTATTCTTTGGAAAATCCCAACCAGCCAGTTTTTGATGAACAGTTAAAACAGTTTTCTGTAATTACATGTTTTTAAAACAAATTGAGTGCCATTTATTGATGAAGCATTCTGTACAGAAACTGTATGATGAAATTTTACAGAGATCCTTGGTGCTTTTTCATTGTTTCTTTACATACACACATAAACTTTTATTGAAAATGTGTTTTGGTTATTAATAAATAAATAAATAAATAAATAAATAAAATAAAAGGCTTCTGCATAGCAAAGGAAACAGCCAACAAAACTAAAATACAACCTACTGAATAGGAGAAGATATTTGCAAATGATATACCCAATAAGGGGTTAGTATCCAAATATGTAAAGAATTTATATAACTTGGGCCACCTGGGTAGCTCAGTTGTTAAGTGTCTGCCTTCAGCTCAGGTCATGATCCCAGGGTCCTGGAATCGAGCCCCGCATTGGACTCCCTGCTCTGCGGGAAGCCTGATTCTGCCCCTCCCCACTGCTCATGCTTGTGTTCCCTCTTTTGCTGTGTCTCTCTCTGTCAAATAAATAAAATCTTTAAAAAAAAACTTATATAACTCAACAGCAAAAAAAACCCAAATAATCCAAATAAAAATGGGCAGAAGACATGAACAGACATTTCTTCAAAGAAGACACACAGGTGGCCTACAGACACATGAAAAGATGCTCATCACCACTAATCATTAGGAGAATGTAAATCAAAATCACAGTGAGATACACCTGTCAGAATGGCTAAAATCAAAACACAAGAATAAACAAGTGTTGGCAAGGATATGGAGAAAAAGGAATCCTCCTGCACTGTTGGTGGGAATGCAAACTAGTGCAGCTGCTATGGAAAACAGTATGGAGGTTCCTCAAAAAAATTAAAATAGAATTACCCTATGGCCGAGTAATTACACTATTGGGTATTTACCCAAAGAATATGAAAATACTAGTTCAAAAATATATATGCATACCTGTTTACTGCAGCATTGTTTACAATAGCAAATTATGGAAGCAGCCCAAGTGTTCATCAACAGATTACTGGATAAAGAAGTAATATATACAGTATAATATTATTAAGCCATAAGAAAGAATGAAATCTTGCCATTTGCAACAACATGGATGGATCTAGAAGTATAATACTAAGTGAAATAACCCAGTCAAAGAAAGACAAATACCATATGATTTCATTCATAGGTGGAATTTAAGAAACAAAACAAAGGAACAAAGGGAGAAAACAGAGACAAACCAAAAAACTCTTAACTACAGAGAGCAAATGGATGGTTACCAGAGGGAAGTTAGGTGAGGGGATGGGTGAAATAGGTAAGGGATTGTGATACATTTATCTTGATGAGCACTGAGTATTATATGGAACTGGTGAATCACTCTACTGTATATCTGAAATTAATGTAACACTGTATATTAACTATACCAAAATTAAAATTTTTAAAATTTTTAAAAATAAAAAAGAGAAACTTTCAGCTAATCCATAGAATTGTGAGAAATAATAAATTACCTTTTTTAAGCCACTATATTTGGTGTAGTTTGTTATGCAGTGGCGTGTAGCTGAAACAGATGATATCTGGAGTGGGAGAAACAGAAAAATTATGGATGGGTTTTAAATGCTTGGCTTCAGCATGATTAAAAATTAGTAACCCTGAGTTGAGGAATACTGAGGGGGAAGAGTTTAGAGGTGAATAAATTACAAGTTTTGTTTCACCTATGTTGAATCTGGAAATGTCTGTTAGCCATGCAGTTGAAGTGAAGAAGCAAACAATGGGTATATTTTGAAATCCATCAACATATAAATAGCATTTAAAGCCATAGGAATAGATAAGACCTGCTCAAGACTACAATATAAATAATGAAGAGTATAACTGAGACTCTAGAATATTTTAACTTTTGAAGGTTAAGCAGGAAAGGAAGAAATAAAAAGAACAACAAAGACAGAGAAGCAGCATCAAGCGGGGTGAGAGAAAATCCCCAAGGGAGAATATAGTCTATGGAAGCCAAGAGAAGAGAGTGTTTCAAGATGAGCATGATTAAATGACACTGGGAGATAGCCAAGTGACCACAGGGTATGTCAACATGGCAATCAATGGAATCCATGAGCATCTTTTTTTTTTTTAAGATTTTCATTTATTTGACAGAGAGACACAGCAAGAGAGGGAACACAAGCAGAGGGAGCGGGAGAGGGAGAAGCACGCTTCCCGCTGAGCAGGGAGCTGGATGTGGTGCTCAATCCCAGGACCCTGGGATCATGACCTGAGCCAAAGGCAAAAGCTTAATGACTGAGCCACCCAGGTGCCCCTCCATGAGCATCTTCAGTGGAGTGTAGACTGCCCTACAGACCACTCTTTTTAGGAGCATTGCCATGCTTCTGAGGAGGGGAGAAATGCTGCAGGAGCTGGAAAAAGCCAGGGATCCTTAAGTTAAGGATGTTTGTTTTGCTTGTTTTACCTTGTTTTCTTTTTAAACCTTTCTAACCCCTAGTCATGTCATGTAGTCATAAAGCTGGAAAGTATCACACTTTCCTTTATCCTCCTCAATTTACAGACTAAAAAGCTAAAGAGAACAGAGAAGGCAATTACCCTGTCCATAATCACACAATAGGCTATTGGCTGAATTGTAATAGACTACATATTTTTTTTTGTTTGAATATGGACTGGATACTAGATGATATCATGAAACTATTATTAATTTAAGTGCAGTAATGGAATGGTGGTTAGTTAGGAGAATTTGTTGTCCTTTTTGAAATTTTTTTAAATGAATTTATACTCCCACGTCCTACCCCCTTCCTCTTGCAAGGACCAATCTGTCCTCTGTTTCTACAAGCTTGTTTTTTTGGTTGGTTTGTTTTTAGATCCTACATATAAGAGAAATCATATGATATTTATCTTTCTGTTTGACTTATTTCACTTAACATAATGGCCTCAAGGTCCATCTTATAAATGGCAACATTTCATTCTTTTTGATGGCTGAGTAATACGTGTGTGTGTGTGTGTGTGTGTGTGACACCTTCTCTAGCCATTAATTTATCAATGAACACAGGCTGTTTCCATATTTTGGCTATTGTAAATAATTCTGCAATGGACATAAGGGTTCATATGTCTTTTCAAGTTAGTGTTTTCATTTTCTTTGGATAAATACCCAGAAGTGGAATTATTGGATCATATGGTAGTTCTATTATAATTGTTTGAGGAACCCCTATACCATTTTTCATAGTGGCTGCACCAATTTACATTCTAAAGTATGTGAGGGTTCCCTTTCCTCTACATCCTCACCAGCATTTGTTATTTGTCTATTTAAGAAGAGCCATTCTAACAGATGCAAGGTGATATCTTATTGTGGTTTCAACTTGCATTTCCCTGATGATTAATGATGTTAAGAATCTTATTATGTACCTATTGGCCATCTGCATATCTTCTTTGGAAAAATATCTATTCAAATCTTCTGTCCATTTTATTTTTTTTAGATTTTGTTGTTGTTATTGAGTTGTGTGGGTTTTTTATATATTTTGGATACTAGCCCCTTATCAGATATATTACTTGCTAATATTTTCTCCCATGCAGTAGGTAGCTTTTTCATTCTGTTGATTTTTTTCTTCTCAGCAGAAGCTTTTCAGTATGATAGTCCCACGTATTTATTTTGCTTGTATTGCCTTTGCTTTTAGTGTCAAATTAAAAAAATAATTGCCACAACCTATGTCAAGGAGCTTACTGCCTATGTTTTCTTTTAGAAGTTTTATGGTTTCAAGTCATTAATCCATTTTGTGTTAATTTTTGTGTATGATTTAAGATAGTGATCAAGTTTCATTCTTTTGCATGTAGCTGTTCAGTTTTCTCAATACCATTTATTGAACAGACTGTCCTTTCCCCATGGTATATTCTTGACTCTTTTGTTGTAAATTAATTAGTTTATATTATGGGTTTATATCTGGGCTCTCTATTCTATTTCATTGACCTATGTATCTGTTTTATGTATTTTATACTTTTATAGTTAACAGTCTTTTTCCCCCTATGTTCATCTGTTTTGGTTCTTAAATTCCAAGTATGAGTGAAATCATATGGTATTTGTCTTTCTCTGACTTATTCTGCTTAACATAATACTCTCTAGCTCCATCCACATCATTGCAAATAGCAAGATTTCATTCCTTTTATGGCTGAGTAATATTCCATTGTATTTCTTATTTCTTGTGGTATCCTTGTCTGTTTTTGGTATCAGAGTAAGGCTGGTCTCATAAAATGAGTTTAGAAGAGTTTCTTCCTGTTCTATTTTTTAGAAAAGTTTGAAAAAACTGGTATTAATTTTTCTTTAAATGTTTAGTAGAATTCACCAGTGAAGCCATCCAGTCTTAGACTTGGGTTTGTTGGGAGGTTTTTGATTAGTGATTCAATCTCCTTATTAGTAATTGGTCTGTTCAGATTTTCTGTTTCACCATGACTCAGTTCTGGTAGGTTATATTTCTAGAAATTTATCCCTTTCTTCTAGGTTGTGCAATTTGTTGGTATATAATTGCTCATAGTAGTCTCTGATGATCCTTTGTATTCCTGAGGCATAAGTTATAACATCTCTTTCATTTCCAATTTTGAGCCCTCTGTTTTTCTTGGTGAGTCTAGTTAAAGGCTTGTCAATCTTATCTCTTCAAAGAACTAGTACTTAGTGTGATTTTATCTATTGTCTTTTTAGTCTCTATATTTCATTTTTCTGCTCTGATCTTTGTTATTTTCTAACAGGATTTAGAATTTTCTGATTAGATTTTCTAAAAATTTTTCATTAAAAAAATATTGATTCTGCAAGAGAATCTCTGACATATGCCAATTTCAATAATTATCTACATAGTCAATGTATTATACATTTAAAGAAGCATAATACTGCCCATTAACCATATAACAGAATCCTACAAATGCCTCTCTAATCCCATCTATGGTATATGACCCTTCCCACTAAAAGTATTACCTAGCAAAAACCTATTAGGAGAAACAGCTGGCTCTCTCTGAAGTAGAGCTTTTTCATGTACTTTTATTTTTTTATTTAAATTCAATTAGCCAACATATCATTAGTTTTTGATATAATGTTAAATGATTCATTAGTTGCGTATAACACCAAGTAGAACTTTTTAAAAAGAGGCTGGAAACTTCTACTTTTTTTTTCTA